ATCGATAAATGAGTGTGGAATGTACCATCTGTGAGCCATGACTGAAAGAGTGCTGGCTCTAGAGAGGATGCTATTTCCATGCTCAGGATCCTATTCCTGGCCATCATGACTGGCAGTGTATGTTGTATTACAGAGAAGTGAATATTACAAAAAAAGAAAGGACACAAATAACAAAATGTTAGTTATTGTTATTATTCCAAAACTGAGCTATGGACTCCTTGAGATATGATACAGAGTCTATGCAAGGAAAACAGTCATCTGGAGTCTTGTCACCATACTCGAATGTTCGGGAACACCCAGCCTATGATCCACACTAACCTCAGAGTGACTGCTCAAGTAAACCTAATGCCCATATTTTGGGCCATGTGATGGCTATTAAACATCTAGATCAAAGGGGTTAAAATGATCATTATGTCAATAATAATAGTAATAACAATACTAATATTAACCCTTGATTACTGAATGTCTCACAGGCATTTCAAAACTCAAGGAAAGGAGAAATGAGGTTAGGTCATGTAGGTCTACTACTTGATCCCTTGGTAGTTGAGCACTTGTGGAACCACCTGTATGTAAACACTTTTCAAAAAACAAAATGACAATGGACATCACTTGTTCCAAGTGCAATGAGTTAAAATTTCATAAAAAAGAATATAGCAAAACATGAATGCTCAAGGCTAATTCCATATAAATAAAGTCTTCCTTGTTCAAATACTGTAAACAGAGATCATTCCCTTCAACTACATACTACTCTTAAGAATTTCATGCAGTACATAAATATCTATGAAAACAATGTGATCAACTTACAGCCCATATGATGAGTTGATTAATGTAGTCTGGGTCAGAGACAAGAGTCACAACAGGGAGTATGACAGAGGAAACCAAAATCTCCACCACCGCTGCCAACAACGGAGCATTTGAGAAATCCTCAGGTGGTAAGATGTAATACAAAATAATTTCTGCTAGATCGCTTAGATAGTCTGCAAGAGTAAAAGAGAGAAAATACATGAAATGGGGGAAAAAATGTCTGTATGACAGTCAAAAAGATTAGAATAAATTATTTAAATGTTATGATTGCATTTTTTGGCATTATTTAACAAAATTTATCAAACCTAACTTCCCCAACTGAACTATCCAAATCCTCTTTCTAGTAAATCTGCAACAGCCTGTAAAGTGCTGAAGATCTGTCTGCTGAAAGAATAACAGATATGTTTTTTGTTGCAATGTAATATGCATTTATTACTCTGCTGAAAATAGATTATATTCTGAGGGATGGTCAACAAGATAATTTTTTTACAGGTTGTTATTGGAGAAGCTTTACCTATGCTTAAGAGCTAATCAAAATTTAATAAATAGTTAAAGCAATGTGATGTATGTGTATGTATATAAGAAAGTATGTAAGAAAGTGAACTGTACTACCTAAACTGACTAATTCTTAGTTCCTAAAAATGATTTACAAATAATTAAAACATACTCAAGGTTAAACATTGTTGGATACATCTAGCAACTAAAGACCATTTGTTTACTTGAATAACATCATAAAAAACACTCAGTGAATATAAGCTTGTTTTTATTTTTTTTCACTTTGCTAATGGATAACTTGAACACTATATTAAACAGAATATATTTTCTAAAACCTCTTTTCTTTGATTATCAAATAACAAGAATGACAGGTAATAAAACAGAGTAACAGGTCTTTCAAACTAAGGAAATTAATAACAGGCAAAATCCTGTACAATATTTTGAGAAATATGTGCTAAGTAAAGCTACAAAATTAGAAAATTCCTTTCATCGGCATTTGATACTATTATTTAGAAACATTATCTTTAGAATAAAAAACAATTTGTAAAAAGGTGAACAGTTCTCATTCCAATGACACTGATTTCTTGCAACATAAACTGATGCTTTATTTATTCCAGCAGTCAACATACACACTTTACAGATATGTTGCAATATAATTTTAAATCCAAGATTCAAAACTGTAGACTGTCAGTTAAATACATATCTTTTCTGTGATGTAAGTACAATTAGAAGGTTAGACCTGGAGCTATAAGCAGGGAGAGGAATCCACACTAGACCATTTAGAAACCAAAAGAAGGCTGGGGAATGACTGATGCTATGACCTCTCATGCATCGAGTCTAACATCTCTTCTAACTTGTGTTGCTACTTTCCTGGTTTTGCTTGCACTTATTCTCACTCACACAGTATCCCTATCTCACTCTCTAAATCACAGTGCTGATGTAAATTGATAAACTAGCTCCTCATTGTTAAAAGTGAGGAGAAATGGTTTGGCAAACTCTGCTGGGTCTGCTTTTCAACCTTTGTGTCTTTGGCTGGGCTTTCTTTGGAATTAATGGAAGGGCACAATTTCCATGGCATCTAGAAGGGGTTCCAGGCTCTCTGGTATCTTTTCTCCAATGAATGTGCCTTTAAAGTCTCTGTCATGTAGTAGAAGTATGACTCTTGCAGCTTTAGCTGGGTGGTTGTGAGGTCCCCTTTCTGAACTGTAACCACATGATGGAGTTGAGCTTTAGTAGTACCATCACTGGAACAAGGCAGGGTCATCTGATGTCTCAGTTCCCAAGATTCCTTTATGATTATTAATGCACCTGCATCTGACTAGGGCTAGGGGTATTAGTTCTTAGAGGAAGTAGGGAGATGGTTGGAGAAATGGTATTACATCAACATCTGAGTACTTCTCGAGTCTTCTGGGCTTTCATGTAAGAGCATTTTCTTCAAAATGTATCCATATAGATTCTCTCTACTACTCTCCTCAGCCCCTCCTAGAAAATCCCCAGACTGTGCATCTCTCCTTTTCACCTAGTGAAGACAAGAAATCACTGGACAGATGCCTGATCTCATCTATCTTCCTGGTTACCTCATTGTCACTGGGGATGGGCTGTGTGGACATGCCATGTCCACAGTGTTTAGATTATTAACTGCAATTAGACATTGATGACTCTACAAATTTTATTTCATATTTTCATTAGTATTGTCAATAACACTGTAAAAAAAAGTGGACACACAAACTAATTGACTTGGTCATTGAGTACTTGTGGAGTCATCTAGGTGTAGATACTTTCACAAAACAATACTTACAGTGTTCATATTTTCCTAGTGAAATGGGGTTAACAAAGTGAGTGCTGGATGATAATCTGTAGAAAAAGTCCAGACTGATCTTTAAACAGGTCCAGTTCATCCTCACACTCTTCGACAGTACTAGTGATACTGGATGAAATGTAATATTTCATTAAGGAATCAAGGATAAGCTATATTTCTACTATGGTTTTCACTTGTGTTTGCTCAAGTACCTGATTATTTTTGTTCACTTAGTAGCAATATTTGATTATCTGCATTATGTTTTTTGTGTGATTCTGGATGAGCATTTCCTTGATCTGATACATAATTGTTTGGTGAAGCAGGATACCTCTCCTCTATGGTCATTACATAATGTTCTGACAAGCTCTACTTATAGATATCGCTTAATTCACAGCATTTGTGCCCTCATTTCCATCTTACCGTCATTATTCATGTCACTGATGCAAGTCAAGCTTACAAGTTAAGCTTCTATGTTTTCACTCCTCTGAGTGTTGAATCTTGAGTGCAATGTGGGCCAGTGGCCTTCCCATTCCCCTTTTGTGAATGGCTATCTAGTCAGCACCTCTAGGATATCTCCTGTCTTAGACACTTCCTCTGAATTAGATTTTTCATGTTTGTACTACTGTCCTTTCCCAGGCTTTCACTAGCCATATTATGCTCAATCCTAAATCAAATAATATGACTTCATGTTACATTTAATCAGTATCATTAGAATATTACCTGTTAATTTTTTTATGATCATTGATGAATTTCCTGAGGATTATATATTTCTTAGCATACTGGTATAATGTAAACTGTCCATTTATAACTATGCAAAAACATAAAGCTTTTGAAAAGATTTACAGCCTCTTAACCCATTAATACCAGGAAGGCATGTACATACATGCCATGTTCAGTGATTTGAGTTTATCAATTTTGTTTACATGGCTTCACAAGAGCTTAGGCTCCATGGTGTGAATTACTAGTCCTATCTGTATCACCTGTTTACCCTCTTTCTTCATTTTGGGAAGTATCTAAAAATAATTTTATCAGCATCTTCAAAAAATTACAATAATCATAATGTCAACAATAATAAAAACAGTATAGATATCCATAGCAATACAAAAGAAGAAGAAGAAGAAGAAGAAGAAAAAAAAAAATAAAAAAAATCAGGGATTGTAGGAATCAGGTCACACAGGGTTTTGGTGACTGAGCACTTGTGGAAACATCTGTGTAAACAAAATTCCCAGAACAAAACTACAATGGACAGTTCATGAACCCTGTGCCAGTGGGTTAATCCAATGCCACCAAAAAACAAAATGTCATGTTCACTGTGTTGTTTTGTGAAATGTATTTACAGACAGATGGCTTCACAAGTAATTAGTCACCAAGGAGTCAATTAATATCTTTTGTGCCTTCATGTGCTTTTCTATTCAAGTTTTTGTGATTTTTTAAAATGTTATCAATATTGACACTATTAAAAAAAATCAAGGAAATAGTTAAACAGGTGACAGAAGTCAGACTACTGATTGCCTAAATGGTGATTAAGCACTTGTGGATCCATCTATGAGTAAATGCAATAAATAAACTAAACTCACTGTGGGTATAGCATGTCTGTAAATACCATCCCCGGTAGCATTGGCTTCATAATACTTAACACAGTGCCTCCAGGAACATGTAATGTTCACTGTAGTATTGTTTTGTGAAATACATTTACACATAGATGGTTCTGATAATACAAAGCTACCAAGGAGTCAATTAGTAGACATAAAGAAATTCCCTTATGTGATGTCTTCTTTTGAGTCTACATTTTTCTTTTTCTGTTTTCTTTTGAGTTTATATTTTTCTTTTTTTTTTCTTTTCCTTTTTCTTAATTATTGTTGTCAATATTATTATTGACATTATAATCACTACAGCATTATCA